TGTGTTAGTTATTTTATTTATTTATTTGTTAATATGTGTTTAGGTGCGTGTTTTGTTACAAGGAGATTTCGAACACTCGTATACAAAGGCTGACAATTCCAAGATTATTCCAACAGACACAATGAAAAATACAATTTACATACTTGCAAAACAATCAAACAACGTACAAATTATAGAAGAATTAGGGATTGAAAGAGGGGAACATTTTCTCAAAACCTATCCTCATGTCACCAAAGTTACAGTGTTGTTGGTTAAACATCGATGGAGTAGAATGATGGTTGATGGGAAATTACATCAACATTCGTTTATTAGAGATGGGGAGGAATTACGACATGCAAAAGTTTTTGTTGAACGAGGATCACGTTCAAACACAAATTCGTCATCACCACCATCATCATCATCATTTGTTGTTAATATTGAAGCTGGATTTAGTAATTTATTGGTGCTGAAAACTACTGAATCTGCTTTTTATGGATTTTTAAAGGATAAATGTAATTAATAGATGTAATGTTAATTGTGTAATAATTATTTAGTTTTTTAAATTACGTAACAATTGATTTTTTTGTAGATACGACACTTGAAGAAACCAATGATCGTATTTTATCAACAAGTATAGATTCAAATTGGAAATATTTAAATATCACAACCAAAAACAAAATTCCATTTGATAATATTTATGAATCGATACGCGAAATAACTTTATCAACATTTGCCAAAGATTATAGTGCATCGGTGCAAGCGACATTATATCTTATGGCAAAATTAGCATTGGAGAAACATTTGGAAATAGGAAGCATTCATTATGAATTACCAAATAAACATTATTTTGCTTATAATTTGGAAAGATTTAATTTGAAAAATACTGGTAAAGATACTGATATCTACTCCCCAAACAGTGACCCATCAGGTAATCACCATTAATTGATTATTGTTGTTGTTTGGTATTCATTAAATAAATGGATAAACAAACAAATAAATAAATTTTTTTTTTAGGATTAATTATTGCTACCGTTTCTAGAAGTAAACCTAAATTGTAATAGACCTTGAAACATCAGTAGAGATTAGGTTTGGGGTTGGGATTGGGGCTTATGTACTCAGATTTATTGATTACAATTGGTAACCAGGCTTCTTCTGGTATTACTTTTGCCCATTCTTGTAAATGAATGAAAAATGAGCAAATAAATATTTATAAAATATTTGTATATTAATGAAATACTATTATTATTACCGGGCACGGAAGATTCTGGAAGTTTAATATTTTTCATTATTGAATTAATTGCCTCCAGATTATCTAAATAGATAAATAGATAAATAATTAAATATTAAATATATGTGCGATAAATAATATTTTTAATCATAATTATAATACTGTAATAATTTACCATTTGATATTTTGTCCTCATCATTTGTGTAAATTTTTAATTTTGGTGAAAATGTTTTATCATCATTATCAGTATCAGATCTCTAAAAAT